GACAGTTTAGAAGCCCCGGAGGCTTCTATTATGGGGGGGGGGTTTAGGTACAAAATAGCTGTGAAAATCGATTTTTTCAATTTTTAAAAATTTCACCTCTCCGTCAAAACTTATCCAACCCGTGAGTTATTGCACACATATACCCTTGCAGGTATCCTTTACAAAGTCGCAAAGTTTGAGGATATGTTAGAAGGGGGAAGTAGCCCCCTTAAACTGTATATTGCAGTATGTGAAAATCCAAATCGCTTTTTGAATACAGAAAGTGGGATTTACTCTTTACTATTTTTTCTATTCAACTTGCAACACTAGAAGAAGTTCCATCCGCGGCTATAGTTCCATCTTCTTTTTGCAAAATCGATCTCGACTTTTTTCATTACCTTAATTTTCTGTCATACATACCACATAAAAATTCCAGTACACGATAATTTCTTGAATCAGAGACATATAGATTACCATAAGGATCTAATCTAAGACCAAATGGGGTTGTTAATTGATTAGGTTGATTACCCCATTTGTTGCCCCCCGCTATGAGATGGCCATTACTATTGCCATTGCCACTAGCGACCAATTGTACTTCCATAGTAGTAACAAGCCATTTTGTAACTCTATGGTTTATAGTAATCGGATACATAAACATCACCTTCAATGTCAACAAATAGACCCTTCCATTCGCCAACCTTCTCCAATGCCGTGCCAGGACCATGTTGATTACCATATCCGCCAGCGACAAGGACACCTTCAGTAGTAAATGGCCTATCTAGTAGCCATTTTTTTACGCAGTCTAGAAAACCTATGTATATGTATCCATTTGGTGTAACGAATAACGCTGATGGAGTTAGTGCACCTGCAGTCAAGGAAGTTCCATACGTTGATCCAATTGGCCATCGAAGTACGCGACTGTTTTGAAAATCGGCAACATATAAGTTTTGATTAATATCAATGCCGATATCAAAAACAATTTGAAGTTGAGTTTGATCCGTACCCATACCGTTACCACCGGCAACAATAATTGGAGTTGAATTCCATGACAATGTGCGACAAATAAAATTGGGATATGCTAAAACAGATAAGTCTTCCACTGCTGTGAAAAAAACTGAATTCTTTCAACAAGCTATGAGTGACGACGATACATTCAGTTTTAAAGTAAAACACTTCTGAAATCAATGCAGTCACACGGCTACGGTGACTGCTGGAATTAACTGCCTACTGTCAAACATTGTTTTGAAAATTATAAAGGTTTGGATGAATTTTGACTAGTGACACGGTCCGAAAATCATCTTGCTGCTGAGATATTTACGCTATCCTTTGCATAGCATCTACAAGAAACACAAAGCGGTTGTAACTAAAGCTGTTTCTTTGGTTTCATAGACATGGAAAATGCTTTTCTCGGCCATGTGCCTTGTATTATTTAGCCAAATAACCTCCGGCCATATATCGTGTATCACTTGGCCAAATCGGCCTAGTTGTTTCGGCGATACGCCATCCTGAACAAATGTAAATGAAAACGTTGAATGAATATAAGCATAGCAAACAACATCCTACACTCCTCCTCAAAGCCTGGTCAGGTATACACAGTGTGTCGTTAAGCTCTAAGTGTGTAATACACACTTTGAGATTGCTTAACGACAGGTAACTGTACAGATTGCAAGCCGTCTCTTTAAAAAAAGAGCACATTAGAAACTCAATCTTGTTATCCTCAAGGACTGTAATGTTACTTAGCGCTAGCATATTTGTTCTGTCATATTCAGATAGTGCTATGCAACTTTGCTAAGTTGGTTCTAAGGTTTATACATGGTTCTAGAAGCAAAGCAATGTTCCTCTTTAAGAGGCAGTGCACGATAGAGACGAACGAAGTTGCTCAATGAACTGTCACAGATTTTTCTCGAATTATCAGAGCAGATAGAGAAATGTGTCCTGAACATTTTTGTCTCTTGACATTTTTTCCAAAATGCTTTCCCTTGCCGCTAGAGTGCTTGCAAAAAAAGTCATAAAATACGGAAAAAAAGCGATTTTCCAGTCGAAAATTTTGCTTATGCTATAACTCCGTCAAATCAAATGCTAATGAGCTTAAATTTTTACCAGAGCTGTCTTGCTATGAGTACTATCTAAGATAAA